GGGCTATATGTCTTGTCGTAAGCGGCGACATAGAGTCGATGTCATTTCAATAATCGCCCCGATGGCCACGGTAGTTGTGTGCCGTCTGCCCACGTAGCAAATGGGAGGCGAAAATGGAAGTCATCAGTGCATCGGTGAGTGTTGAACGTGAAAATTGCGCGGGCCGCGCAAATTTCGCGATCATCGATGTGTCGGGGCTGAGCATCCATCATTTTCTATCTTGTTTTGAAGCTATGTGAGTTGTGATAAAGTACATAATTTTTTTGTATTATATTACTGTATGAATAGTGTAAAATTTGTACAGAACTTTGTACAAAATAGTTTCTTGTAAAAAGTGTGGACTACTGCCACGTCGTTTCCATACAAACTCCCAATACGCCGCAAGTACCACAAATGCCCATGTTAACCAAATCACCTCATCATCCATTTTTTAAGGACACAATTTTTAATTCAAATCAACTTACTTTATCAAAACTCCAATCGTTTATCAAATAACATATATCGAGTCATTTTAACAAAATCAAAGACGGCATAATATCATTTATCACACAGCCAAAAACCTAACCTAGAAACCACGATGTTTACAAACTCAAATTGGAGAACACTCATTGGTCCAATAATAAAAATTGATTTGCCGCCTTTTTTCTTTGCAAGCAAAACGTGTGAACATGTCTGAAAATGGGATCGGGCGTCAACACTCAACGATGCACTGATGACTTCCATTTTCGCCTCCCATTTGCTACGTGGGCAGACGGCATTAGACGTTTACGGTTTCCTTGGTAACCTTTGTTTGCTATCAGCTGATATCGAGTAATATGACTAGGAAGCTCCAACCCAGTGGTTGGAGCTTCCTTAACCGCGAAAACTTTAAAATTCAAATTTTCAAATTTTGAACGTAAAGTACATTTTTTCCATCACGAGATTAAAGCACAGACAAGTTTTGAATTATTGACTGTATCACCATGATTCCAAAAATACACTACACAACATAGCATTGGCTAACAATAAAACAATATGCAATAAAATAAAGTCATGACAAGGAACATAGCCGAAAATGGCGCCGATTCCCATTAACCAACGCGCGGTCTCTCCAATGTAACATGGTCCAATGATACTCCCCAGCTGGGACCGTCCGGAATAGCAGCTCTAGTGCAAGCACCAGAGCCGCTAAAACAACACAAAATACTTCGGTACTTCGGTCGACTCCGTAAAGTTTCAACCGAAATACCGAAGTACTTTAGATGTTTGACCCCAACTTCGGCAGCTGGTTCTCAAGTTTTCAGATGTACGATCCGAAAACTCCGGAGGCCCTAAGTTTTTTGTGGCTCTCAGAAGTTCGAAAAAGTGGCTATGTATCTTTTTAACCTCCATGCTTCATGCAGTTACGCTGATTAGACGATATTTTGCTATTAAGAACTACAATTTCTGGCTCGACGTTAAAAACACTTATTTGCATTTTTCATCCGAGTCAGAAATTATGGTTTATTAATGAGCAATGAGGTACTATTTCCTAGCTCATTTCAGGAACAACATGTGTGCCATTAAAGTCATGCAGATGAGAGCTTTTATGGATTACATGTTGGAGTTGTTTGCCAACGTGCGTTAAAAATTCAGTTTACGGCTGAAAATCTCAATACAGAGGGAAAAAACTCATGTGAGCACAGTTTTCCCTCAAAGAGATATGCTGTTTGGTACAACGCTAGTTACGTCCATTCAGAAAGGCAACTACAGGATTGTGGATTAGCTGAAAATGGTAGTTTTGGACTGCAAAATGTAATTACATTCGTACAAATCACAGGAATACAGCCACAAAATCATAACACTAGAGATACACGCGACCTACCCGCTGTGTTTAGAAGATGGGAAAATGTTATTTTTCACGCATGAACAGATGATTTGATGCACAAACCGAATTATGAGCTTCCGCATTGGGAAGTGTGCGCGCCGTGCCGCGAATGGGAGCTAATGCCGGAAAATGAGAGTGTCGGGCCGACTTGGGTAGACTCGGCCATTATCGTCCACGACCCCCAGACTAGACCGTGCCGACCATTAATGGGCAGCGTCGAGACGCAAGGAAACGTGCCGGCACGCACTCGACCGACTCAGTCTCCCGATTGACGCACAATCCTGCCTGTCGTCCTACCCAAGAGAACAGTAAGTCCGAAACTCGAATTTTGAGTATGCGTTAGTGTTCTAGCACTAACCGTTTATTGCATGAGGTAGTCACTCGATTTTGGTGAGAAAATCTACATTTTATGGTGTTTATTCGCTTACAGACCGGTTGATGCACAATCCTGCCTGTCGTCCTACCCTAGAGAGCAGTAAGTCCAAAACTCGAATTTTGAGAAAACTTCATTATGCGTTAGTGTTCTAGCACAAACCGTTAATTGCATGAGGTAATCACTCGATTTTGGTGAGAAAATCTACATTTTGTGGTGTTTATTCGCTTAGAGACCGGTTGACGCAGAGTTCTTCCATCCTGTCGTCCTACCCTAGAGAGCAGTAAGTCCAAAACTCGAATTTTGAGAAAATTTAATCTTTGGTGTTTAATTCTTTAATTTAGAAGAAAAAATAATTAAAATTTCATTATTTTTTATCTTCCTTTTCCGTTCAAATTGTAGGAAAACTTCTGAAACAGCCACAATCCAACTTAAAATTGCGATCTTCTCACGAGTTCACTTTTCTGACCTCTGTGATTTAAAACGGGTCGATCGAAGCAGTTTTCACTGGTTTTCTCGAATCCTCGTTTCTGATACTTCGTCGTTTCCAGGATGAAGGAACGTTACTCCTTTCCGATGTTACAAAATTGACTCCGACAGTTACATTTTTACAAGTGTGTACCTGTGCAATTTCAGTCAAAATCGTTTAATTTTTGCAGATGAATCGGTGAAATTTCCAGTTCGAAACGCCCCAAGATCCTCCCTGTAAAAATGCGATTTGCGCGAGAAAATTCGGCGACACTGAAATGTAGTTACGTTCTTTCGTGATTGAAACGACAACTTAAGTCTTTTCGTCAATGAACAAGACCCACAGCGCGACGACGACGCGGCATCTCGTGGCGATGGATGCGCATGCGCGCTGCAGCGGAATGGCCCGGGATGAGGGCACGTAGCCCGCCGCGAGACCAAGATCTAGATTAGGGAAACGTACGAGAATCGACTAACCTCACTTCTGGTCGGGGCTTTGGAGCGAGTCCAAAGCAGTCCAAAGCCCGCTCCCCCCGCCCCTCCCCTCCTCTCCCTGCGCCGCGCCGCGGGTAGAAAAAGGACAGAACCGGGGAAAAGTTGCGGACACGATCCCGGGTTGTGCTTTCGTTGGCTCAAGGTTGTTGTTGCTTCTTCGTCGGGCGTAGCTTTCGATGGTGGACATGTCCCGTCCCGATGCGACGCGACGGGTTCCAAGTTGCGAGTCTTCCATCGCGTCTTCCCACCGGGTCAACTGAGACTCTTATCCCTCTCGCACAACGACTTCGTCCAATGTTCTAGATCTATACCGTTCAACCTCGCCATCTTAATAAGACGCATTATTGATGAAGAAGTGTATGGGCCTGTGAAAAGGGAACTTATCTTCCGGGAGAGACATTTCCTTGACTTCCTGGGAGCCTTCTTCTTTCTACAGTACCTATATACGGGAGAGTATTGCCATCTCTGTGCCGCTCTCTGATTGGCTCATCAGTTTTAGGCTATCATGGAGCTTCAAAGTTGGCTCAGTGTAAACAAACCCGACCCAGAGGAAAACGTTTTATCGGCTGAGAAATGAATTATAATCACACTCAAAGGTTAATTTTCGGTAAAAATATCCAACAAAGTTCGATCCGAACTCAACTCAGAAGTTGGAAATAAACACATTTCTATCACATCCAAAATTACGTCTAGAATTTTGTAGAACTTTGTCACTGTCTTGTTTGTTTACATTGGGCCAAACTAGGAGCGGAGGAGCTGGGGTGGCCCGTCGTTTCAAAAATTATAAAAAAAAAAGTATGCTATTTTTCTTTTCTTTTTCCCGGAGACCTCAACTTTGAGGAAGGCTGCTCATTATAAACATTATAGGCCATCTTAATTTAACATTAGAATGTGAAGGCTGACCGCAGCATTTTTCATTTTTCATGGAAGAAGGTTGGCTGCCCTTTCGGATCCTAAGACCTCCATGTTTCGACAAGACCTTACTCTCCAGTATCAAGGTATGGTACTGTACCAGGACCGAGAATTTTCCGGAGTTTCCCTTCTTTCTCCATACCGGGAGCTGGGCTGTTCCTCCCTCTTTCTCCGTTTGAATTTCCCGCCACACATGCAAAGGATCGCTGGTGGATCGGAGCGAAGTCTCCAAGTCGGAGGACGACCCGGGCCGACTTTCTCCGACGGTGGAGAGGGGGGATCGAAGCTCTGCGCCTGCGCCGAGTCGGAACTAGTTCAGTTGTCCAGTTTTCAATAACCTTATCTGCGGCACGACATGCGCCGTTCAGCATCCCACACCGATCTACACTCTCGCCGCGGCTCGCGCCCTGCCCTACCGAGCTTTTGCCCCCTGCCCCCCCCCCTCCCCCCGATCGCGGACGGCGTGCTTGAAAGATCCCTCTCGATCGCGGATTCGTCAGGCAGAGGACAAGGTTGCCAATATGAAATTCCCTGAAATTTCCCTGTTTTCCCTGACATATTTTTGTAAAATTTCGTGACGATTGAAAACAGCCAAATGATTAAAAATACATGATTAGAAATAGTTTTAGGGTAAAATTTCTTGTTCTAAGCGTCAAACCCATCCTAGGCAGCATATTAAGGCGACTTGACAATTTTCCCCTGACTTTCCAGGTTTCCCTGACTTTTTGAAATTCCCTGACATTTCCCGGTTTCTTTTGACTATGGCAACCCTGAGAGGAATTTCCGCTCTTCGTTGCCGAATGAGAGAGGTACAGTTTCGGAAGTTTTTCTTATATCAAAAATCAAGGAATATTCTACACACAACGACGAGCTCTCGGACAAGAAATAAAGATAAAAATTACTCACCCTGATGTTGGAGTGGCCTAATTTTTGGACGGACTGAACTGAGCCCAGTTGAGATTCGGGGTGGATTTCGGGTGAGAATATGCTGTCGTGGCTAACACTTAGTACGGTTGAGTGAAGGCTCCTGAAAAGCATACAATGAGATATGTAAGACTTCTTTCAAGCATTCTAAGAGCGTTGATAACAGATTTTTCCGGAAATTTTGGTTCAGATCTTTTCGTTCCAAGGCATACAAAATGCCACGGCCAAAATGCAATGTTTAACTCTGGTGGAAGTTCAGTGCCACGGCATTCTGCATGAAGACATTTTCGATGGTTTTGTCACTAAAAGAGTGAGCTGGTTGCCCACAAGATTCTAGGCGGGATTCTGATTTGCATTTCCAGTAATAGACGTATTTCTATCAAACGGAACTAAGCGCCATAGGGGGAGGAAGGGAGAGGGGGGCTTAGATTGGCGGGTGTTGCAGAACGCGACGCTAGTCCGTCCTATACTCGCAATGTTTTTCCATGGCGCTTAGTTCCGTTTGACAGAACGCTCTATTCGGGATTCTAAAATCATCAAAAGGAACTCAATTTGGCGCTTAGTTCTGTTTAACAGAAATACGTCCAGTTGTTATGTCGGACGGCATCATTCGGTTCAGCGCGAGACCGGGGCGTTTTAAAGTTGCAGAAAAGTTGCGCATCTTGAACTACATATTTCTCGAATTCTGTGTTACTAGTTACTTCTATATGCGTTTTTAAAGTGCAAATCGTGTTCTATGTTTCATTTACCTTTAGAAAAGTGTATTCGCAAATCAAAATTCGTTTACGGTTTAGTGAGCCATTGTTATGATATGAAGTATGATGGATGCTCTGCAGCCCGTGACAAGATATAGAATAAAAAAACAATTTAAAAAGCGTAATAACAACAACATAATAACAACATTGATAACGTTGATAATAACAACATTCCCAATTGAAAGGTACTTATCAGGTACTATTTTAGATTTTTAACCATTTTTATTTTGATTTATCCAACTGAGGATGGCTGAATTTTCAGCCGAAACGTTTTGGTTTTGTGTATGTGAAATTTTAGCCTTGTTACCCGCTTTTTAAATTGTTTTTTTATAGTTATGATACTGACCTCCTTGACTGAGAAGGGTCCTGAATGAGTTGGCTGGCGGAGCGGCTGCACTGGGCCTGGATGCCGGCGGCGTCGGTACCCTGGTGGGGGTGGGCATCGTCGGGGGAGAGGCCCTCGCGACTCGAGTGCGGCGAGTCCGGGCCCCGCTCCCGATCCCGCTCCTGGGTCCGCGGTTTCCGCCGGAAAATCCGCCGCAGCCCCCGCAACGGGTGGAACCGCCGTTTCTTCGATTCTGAAACACCAACAAAAACACAATTAAAAACTCTCCACCTGTTCACTGCCGTGGTAAGAAACACGAAAACAAATGATACTGCTGATTCAACAATTATGTGGTTAAAATTCCTTGAACTGTTCAGGAACTTAAGGTGAAATTGCTAACAAAATAATCTGAAAAATTTGAAGTAAAATGTTTACAAAACCCATAAATTTACCATGAAATTCGTGTCTTATCCAAGGAAATTTGGCAACGCTTAAAATTTTATACGACGAAATCAGATTCTCGAAGAGAATCAATTGGATTCGATCAATGGATATCTTTGAAAAAATTAATCCTCAACACTAGTAATACCTTGCTAAGAAAGAACGCCGTATGGACATTCGAGTGTTGCCAAATTACTTCGATAAAGTTTTTACTTTTTAAAGAAAGCTGTAAATGCTTTTTCCTTGAAATTTTCATGACCTTTAGGTGAAATTGCGATAGAAATTATCTGAAAAATTGGAAGAAAAATATTCGTAAGTTTACCAGAAAATTCGTGTTTTGTCAAAGGACATTTGGCAAGACTTGGAGGTCCATACGATGTTCTTCACGGAAAAATGATATTGCTGATTTCACAATTATGTAGTTGAAAAAAGTGTCCGACATGAATCAATCTAGATTTTAAACTTTGAAGAAAATAATGCTACTTTAACCACCACCGTGGTTAAATTAGCTTACCACTATTGTAAAATGAACATTTTAAACATGTAGGACATATTTTTTAACAATTTATTGTTGAATCAGCAATCCGTTTTATCCGTGAAGAAAGTCGTATGAACCTTCAAGCTATGCTTCCTAATTCAAGCAATGGTTGAAATTAGTGCACTTTAATTTTTACGGTGCTTCACACTCTAGCTATGGTTTAATCACCTTAGTGCTGAACGAAAAGAAAAAAATACCATTATATATGGTTGAATAATTACCTTGTTTCCCCGTGTCTTCGGCATTTTTCGAGCTGGCCGTCGGAGAGGTGTCACGGACGCAAGACATGGGTCCGATGTTAGCAGGACTCAACTGTCAAAAAGAAAAAAAATAACGAGGTAAGAATCAATGAACAATCGCTGATTTATACTACTGTTTAATTAAATATTAACATTTTAGATAAAATCATTAAAGTAACACGTGACACTTAACGCCTGATGTCGCGAAGCGCCTTAGGAGGTTCTACCACGAAGCGATCAAAGAGAGTAGCGTAGCCGGCTCGTAATGCGCAATGCTTGAAGTATTCCAACAGTTTCGCAGGCGCTCCCTGCGATGTTTTTCGCGCGAGGATCAAAACGTCGAATTTTCTTCCGGAAGATGACGTTCCTTTTCGCAGATTCGGTTACGACAAGACCCAGCCCCCTCGACCGCTTGTTGCACAGACCCTCTTGTTGCTTCATAATTATTATTACTCTGAAGCAACAAAACTTCCTCCGCGAAATGAAGGAGAACGAAAACTCTTTTCGACTGACCCAGAGACTTCAACGCATGAGTAGAAAAGTTGGATGGGACTAAACGCGTGATACAACTATTTCGACTTCCAAGTAGGTAAAATTGCATATGAGCGAAATGAAGGAGAACAAAAACTCTTTTCGACTGACTCAGAGATTTCAACGCGTGGGTAGAAAAGTTGTTGGGGCGAGACCCGTGATACAACTATTCCGACTTCCAAAAAGGTGAAATAGCATATCCACGAAATAAAGTAAAAACCTTTTTTCTGCTGATTCGGAGACCTTTTAACGGTAGCGTATAAAAGTTGGATGGGGAGAAACATATGCTACAACTTTTTCGACTTCTAAGAAGATAATGAAGAATTAAAAAAGTACATGGAGCCATAGTTAGAGCATTAACGAGATTAAGAAAAGAGACGAAAAAATCACAAACTATAGCAAGCTGATAGTTGAAATTGGTAGACAAATTTATAGGTAAAGAGAACAAAATGGATATGGAGGGATCCTATTGATGGAAGTGGGTGGGTGCAATGGACCAAGCAGATATGTAATATGCTAACTAACGGCAACCCACAAGGGGCCCTATAGTTAGTCCATCATTACCTCCCTTAGTCGATAGGAACCACCCATTTCAAACAATAGGAACACTCCATTATCCTTTTGCCTCCTTTGTCTATTAATTTCAATTAGCTGCGGGCTGATTATTGAAATTGATAGACGAAACTATAGACAAAGAAGACATAGTGAGTATGGAGCGATCCCACTGGTTGAAATGGGTGGTTCCTTTAGACTAAGGGAAAATGATGGACTAACTACAAGTTCTCTCTTGAGTTGACGTTAGTTAGTCTGTTACCTATCTCCTTTATCTAATATTGCGACCACCCGCTTCCACCGATGGGATTCCTCCAAATCCCTGTTGTCTTCTTTGTCTATAGCTTTGTCTATCAATTTCACTACGCACTTTTATACGTGAATGCACGAAACTGTTCCCGTCGTCTCACCGACGTCTCTTGGGGGCTGATTGTTGAAATCGATAGACAAAGCTGTAGACAAAGGAGACAACACGGATATAGAGGGAACTTATCGGTGGAAGCGGGTGGTTGCAATGGACGTAGGAGGTAGGCAATAGACTAACTAACGGCAATACCCACGAGAGACCCTATGGTTCGTCCATTATTTACCCCCTCCCTCCATTAGAACCGCCTTTTAAACCAATAGGGTTGCTCCATACTCCCCATATGTCCTCTTTGTCTATAGCTTTGTCTATCAATTTCACTACGGAGCCCGGAGAGTAGAGTCCCGTGGGAGGAGGGACGGGGAGCTTTGGCGGGGCGGCGCGCGGCGTGGCATCGGCGCGGAGAAAGCTAGACTTTCGGTCGGTGCCCTGCTGCCCGGTGACCTTGTATTGTTTATTTATTCGTTTATTCCCCAGATTCACCCACTCCGCGCGGGGCGGCGCGGCGCGCTCGGTGCACGCGACGCGGGGCGACATGGACGTGGTGCGGGTCTCCGCCGGAGCATCTCGACGTCGACGACTCGACTTTCTAAACGATGTTTTGCAATCCTAATTACCGTCCCCGCCCTCCGATCCGCCTCTCGGTCCGGATCATGATCCCTCTCCCCGCAGTTCGCACCACTCGATAAAAGCGGGAGAGGCTCGCGGATCTGGTGGGCGCCAACTCCCGTGTTAAGGAACAACGCCGTATGAGCCGTCAGAACAGTGGCGTGGCGTGAATTGCGATGTATCGATTGTTCGGTCATTTAAACCTATGGTAAAGAATCGATTATTAAGGTGTTCGCTGCGAACACCCTGTTTATCGATCCTTTTCCATAGGTTTAAATGGCATAAAAATCGATAAATCGCAAAGCACGCTACGCCTCTGCATCAGAATGTGCCAAATTTCCTTTGACAAATTACGAATTTGCGGTAAAATTCGGAAATATTTTTTCTCCCATTTTGCACAGAATTTTTTCGAAATTTGAACTTGAGTTACTGAAAATTTCAAGGAAAAATATTCATAACTTTCTTCATGAATAAATATTTTCTAGGAAGAAATTAGGCAATGTTCGAATGATCATACGACGTTTCCTTAACACGGCAGAACGACGCCATCCACGGATCGACGAGGCCGAATCTATACGTTTGGATAGGAGGGTTATGGCGGTGACGTCACCGTTCGGTGGATCCCAGAAACGCTATCGGGTTGATTGTTGGAATTGTTGGACAAAGCTATAGACAAAGAAGACATAGGGAGTATGGAGCAATCCTATTGGTTTAAAGGGCGGTTCTAGTGGAGAAAGGGGGTAAATAATGCACTAACTTTAGGGTCTCTCGTGGGTTGCCGTTAGTTAGAGTCCCTTTATACCCAGAGTTAAGACAACTCACTTTTGGTTGGGCCAGGGTTGGGCTGAAAGTGGCCTAAAAAAAATCCAATTCTGATTGGTTCTCGCTCATGGAGGCCGAAACGAGTGCACCAAGATGGCGGTACCTCGAATGTCAACAAGAATAATGAAAATATTACCTAATTGTGGTTTATCAAGAGTAAATTGTTATTGCCATCGGTCCAGAATGAAAATAGATTAAGAAATTATTCACAAACCAATCTCATTTTCTTTTTAATTGATCAATTTGTTGATGTTGTTGTTTTTGTGTGACAGACATCGCAGGATTCCTGATCCTAATCCCTCAATATCGTTCGTTTGGGTGCACTCGTTTCGGCCTCCATGGCCAGCCAAGGCCGGCTGCCAGTCAGCTGATAATCGAGTTGTCTTAACTCTGGGTATAAAGGGACTCTAGTTATAGTCTATTACCTGCCTCCTTTGTCCATTGCAACCACCCACTATCACCAATAGGATCCCTCTACATCCCTGTTGTCTCCTCTGTCTATCAATGTGGTTGTTGCATGGATGGGGGATTTTAGAAAAAAAATGGATTCCGCTAGATTTTTCAGCGAGAAAAACGATGGTGCCGTCCAAAAAGTTCTAAGTCAAGTCCTAAAGCTCGAAAAAGCTCGCTAAAGTTCGATAGAATCGAACGTGAAAATGACGGATTCTTATTGGCTGCTGCAAAGTGAGTAAAGTGACGTCACTACGAACGATCAGCCCGCAAGAGACGTCCGTGCGTTGTTTTTGAGACGGCGAGACATGCCGGCGCGGCATTCACATATAAAAATCAGTCATTAAATAATTAATTATCTGTCGTGAGAAAATTAGTAATTTTTAAAACCATCAGGAGAGAAGGATTTTTTTTCAAAGCAAAGTTTGTCGCTAAATTGACTATCACTTTCAATAATCAGCCTGCTGCTGCTGTGTGACAGAGAGATGGACTTCGAGGGAAAAGTTACGTGCATTCACATGAAAAAATCAGTCATTAAACAGTTAATTATCCGTCGTGAGAAAATAAAAAATGTTTAAAATCGTCAAGAAAGAAGGATTTTTTGTTTCATTGCAATCCCCTGAAGGCACAGAGTTTTTCTTATTCCCTTATTCCCCTCCGGAACGCATTCCAAATGCAACTTACACGAATAAATATTTCGCGCGTATCTGGTTCCCTCGGTTCAAGAGAAAAATAAGTAATTGAAAATTCTGTGTGTTCCCTGATCAAACCGTGCGCTCCGCTAAGTGCGAAACGTTCCTGGAATCGCCGAATGAGCGACCGGTCGCTTTTTTTCTGTCTCCGCGTTTGTTTATTTTTGACAGGTCGTTAACGTTTCCTGAAAAGGACGCGCGAACGTTGATCCCGCCGGGGCAACTCCAGGAGTTATTCGTAAAATCCTCAGATTGTCGTCCGACGAAATTCCGCACCATCCTGGGTAACGGATTACTCAACACTTGTTATGGGAACGAACCTCCGAACCTAACCTCTCTCGTTCCGAGTCGCGCTGGAGTCGGTGGTTTCGACCTTGACTTTCTTAAAATATTCAGGGTCGAGTTTCGGAATCATCATGCCATGCTTACGAAAAACTTTTATTCTTGAAAACTTTCGGAGAACTTACTCGCATTTGGACCGCGTTTAGCAGGAAGGAACCAAGCCACCTCAGCTTTTGCCATTTAACTCGGTAATTTAATTTTATACTAAAGAACGTTTGTGCAGATTCCTCTAAACATTGTAAGGAATTTGCTTCGTATTATGCAAAAATTCCATGAAATTTGCACACAAATCCGCCTGACCGTAAAAAAGAGTAAAAAAATATGTATAAAATGAAACTGCCGATGAAATTTGGCAATAGCTGATGTGGCTTGGTTCCTTTCTGCTTAACGCGATCCATTTTTGCTAGTGCCCATGTTTTAATGAGAGATTATTGATAATCACGGCGTGAAATGAATATTTAATTGAGGAAACTTTTACAACATGAGAATGCTTTTACAGCGGTTTTCTTTGGCGGAATTGGTGCACCACTCCCCGGGAATTGCCTAGTTAAGTTTAAAGAAATTAGTTTTGAAAGGAATTTCGGAAATGGAAATTAGAACTAATCAAGTTTAAAGCTCCTTCTGCAAAACTACTTTTTGTACTCGGAGAAGTTTGTGTATTCAGTACTTCTGCGGGCTGATTGTTGAAATTGATCGACAAAGTGGTAGACA